ACCACCCACAGCTTGCGCAACTACCGCCCCGTGCGCTGGCGGCCGTCTACCGGCCACCGGGCAGGTAATACGAGCGCGATATTGCAAATAGGGGTAAGCCTGTTATATGTCTGACCTAATTAATTTCTCCCGAGTGCAGAGTCGAGAAGCCAAGCGGCAGCATCAAGCATAAACACCCTCTGAAACATATTAAGTGTTTTCTGAGGTTATGACAGCTTTATAGAAAACAGCCCATTTAAGCTTACATGAGTTAAGTACTCGTAGGAAGAGAAAAGAGGGAAATGGAAAGAAAAGTTATTTATATTGGGGATTAAGGATTTTATTTGAATTACGTGGGTAAATCAATTTATTTATAAAAAGATGTTGATGGTATTACAATGTTTATAACTGGAGAATGTTTTGATGGATTTTGTCGGATGCTATTTGAAAAAGAAAGTAAAAAACTGTTTTTTCACGGTTTTGAGATACAAAAAGTGTAATTTTAAACACGGAAAGCCAAAGTTGTGACAAAAGTACTTTAGTCACAGGTTTTAGTCACGGGGTGGAGCTTGCGTCTGCGCATTTGCCTGCGGTGCAGCTGTACAGAAGTAAAATAACCTGCATATTATAAAAAGTCTTCTGAACTACAATTTAACGACAAAAAACGCTAAATATGTGAATTACTTCTCGATATACCGAGTGTTTTGCTCGATGTATTTTAAAAAAATTAGAAATATAACGATTATTAGTCTGTATTCTTATTCTGTATTTAGTAGTTACGCCTCTGCTATAAAATAACAAATGATGCATACTCGTATATAAGTTTACACTTATTGCACTTTTTGTTCCTACTCGTAACATCAACACTAAATCAGAGTTAAAACATTATATCCACTCATATAGTCATAAAGCAGTGTGGTAGTTTTCTACGCTTAATGATGACAATCACAATCAGCAACAAAAACGGATAAATTATCGCTCGTATAATTCATCCCTTCGGCCAGACAGTGTCTTAACTACTTGTTAGGGAGAATTCAAGATGGCGACGACCTCTGCACCAATATAATATGAGTATGTGTCTAGTGTTTTTGCTCAGACTAAATCAAATCAAATTAATGATAATCCCAATAAAGTATCAAAATATATACAGGGTGTTATATAATATTTATAAAAAAATAAATTACGTATTTTTTTTATTTAAACATTTTTCTTGTTTTAAAATAATAATACAAAAAAAACTATCAGTCTTTCCCTGAGCTTTAATCGACGCCCCAGGCGCTCCAGGCTGAAATTACACGTCCTTTAAATAATTAAGCAGCGCGTCCTCCCTCTGCGCGCCTAGGTTTTAATATCGTTTTTGTTTGTTTGGGACCGTCAAAGGGTTTCCGGTTTGTGTGCTGAGAGCAACAGACACTCACCCTTGGCATTAAAAGAAAAAACGTTTCTTGGATGATATTTTATCATCGCTTAACCTACTCGTACTCGCGAACTCAAATGTGGAAATAATTCGAGCGGTTGTATAAATCACAATTTATATCTTGCGTCGGTTTGTGGAGAGTAAAGGGGTGGTAATGTTATTAAATAAGTTTGCGTTTCCACTTTGGGATTTACCACGATTTCGAGATGTTGAGATCTCGAGATGAAGCTGGCAGAATATACACTACTTAGCGGCTTGATGGTGTAGTGGGTTTATGAAAAGTGGAAGGGGAAGAGGAAAGAGTTAAACCGCTGAGTAAACGAAAACTTAGAGGGAATATTACATTTGAGGTTAGGAAATGACAGATATTATATCGTGTTTTTAAATTTAAGCTTGGAGTTGTGAAAAGTTGTTTTTTATTGTTTTTTTTTTAATAACTCGGAAACTAGATAAGTTACAACAATTTTCTTTGCATTAATAAATTGTGCAATAAATTACATCTATAAATATTACAAAAGTAACAGGAAATGTGATTATTTTTGGTTTATTACTTAAATAATTTTTTATTACTGAAAATTTTACATTTTATATTTGTGATTTTTTATATATTTTTTTAAATAACTCCGAAATTAAATAAGGTATAGCAACAATTCTTTCAGCAAATTATTTACAATAAAATTTTGCATTAAAATGACCTAATATTTTATTTTCTAATAATGTTAAACATTGTTTAAACAAAGAAAAACAAAAAAAAATTATGAAATTCACACTTTAACATTCAATAACTTTTGTTATAACCATAAATAAACCAAAATTTTTACTACATTAGACGCAGAATTTAATATACAATAAATAACAACAAAAATAATATCATTATCTTTATAACTTTTTAAATTATTAATAAAAAACTAACCCAAAACATTGTCCGAATCCACAAAATCAAGTTCCGCATCACATGAAGTAATAAATTTCAATTCATACGCGAATATTAAACCCAAATACTTAAAATTTGATCAAATGCTCTGCGAGGATTTACCGCCTAGGTCCCATAAAGCAATTCGCAATGCAGAATCGAAAAGGCTTATGCAGCGTATTATATGCTGGAGTGAAGGTAATTACTTTCGAGTGCTACTATACCCAGCACATACAGTGTGTCCCCGCCATCTCAATACTAAATTAGTTCACTAAATTAACGCATTCACATACGGATTACGCTGTCAGAACTACTCGCCTCGGGGACAATAAAGGACTAGTCATGCAACCATATAGACTATACAAGTGATAGTGTGATGTGGATTGCATAGTGTAAGGTGTAAGGTTGGTTGCAGTAGTAGTAGTAGTAGTAGTGGTAGTTTCAAGTGTGGCTGAAGGGTATGCAACCAGTGCAACCACTGTGCACGTCGCGCAACTGGTAAATCCGACTGGCGACGTGCCAATTCCCAAGTTACCAGTAGGTTAACAGGTTAACAGCGCGATATTAAGTTAAAGTTTGAGGTTACGTCACAATAATTATACGGGTTTTAATTTTGTTTGAATGAATGCAACAAATTGGATTTTTTGGTTGGGGATACAACGCAAAGGTTTTGGTCTCCCAAAGGAGGAAAATGAAATTGTGCGGATTTAATTAAATCATGCAAATTTCGGGAATTTATGAAATTTTACGAATATTACGAATATTATTCGATTAAAAATGGCGTACATGTCACAATAACCTCACTTTTTTTATTTTTTTGTTTTATGTTAAAGGAAAAATGATGGTAGTAATATCATATTTATAGATTTATGTATTTTTGAATGGTTACATATTTAATGAACGCATGAATTATTTTTCATTCATGCGGGTCCCTCCAGGGGTGACTTTTGTCAATATTTTTTCGTTTTTTGTACTTTTCGCTGCTTTTCGGCGCTGGCTGTTTGTTCGTGCGTCGTAAAAAACTCTATCTCGCACACGGCGATGTGAATAATTCATTCGCGAGGACGACATTAAAAGTTGATATGCAAATATTGCTGCAAGGGGTGGTTTGCGAGTTTCACAGAGTGCAACCGCAAAGTAAAGCGGCACAAAGCGAAAAACCGCCATGTACACACAAAAAACACACTTCATCTAAATAAAACTTTCGTGAATTTATTTTTAAAATATTTTTTTTTTGTTTAATAATTTTTTTGCTTTTGCGCATGCGCATGGAAAAATCTTTTGTTGGTGAATGCGCTCGGCAAAACGTAAAATCGTGTACGCCCGAAAGTTTAATCATAAATCTTCCAGTCACACTCGAATCACTCGCGCCGTACGCTTTACCAAAAACCACCCTTATTCCGAACGGCGTCAGCTGACGCTCGCGCGCGCTCAATACTCAAACTTCCGACTTTAACTTTCAACCGATCGTTTTGTGCGAGATTTGTAACTTTCAACATTTGAACATTTCAACCGTTTTTAATTAGGAAATAATCACAAGGGGTAGTTTTTGATAACAATGCGCATTGTTTTATCAAAACGACTTTATTACTAAGAATCTACATTAACTTTAAGTCTTAAAATTAAAAAACAAAACATTTTAGTTTATAAAAGAAAGGTGTCAGAATAAAAGCACCCCTAAGATTTATTATTCACCAGAATAAGGGTTGAAAGAGTATGAGTGTTGCATTTAGAATTCTTTTTTACTTGTTGCTTTTCTATTTTTTATTCGGTGAGGGTTTTAATATTTTATAAATAAATTTAACTTTTTAGAAAACTACCCCTAAATTATGAATGTTTGCAAATTGTGTTTTGACCTAGATTTGCGGGGGAGTTTAGATTATTTAAGAGTTTTGGAAAGTTTATGATCTTGATGAACTCGAGTTTGTGTCATAATTCGTGATTAAATCATTCAATTAGGGCGCGTAATCTCTGAGCGTGCATTATAAATGCAGCCGGCCGAAATTGAGGGTAGGGTAATAAGCTACATATTTAAGTAAGCATATGAAGGCTACACGAAGTGGCAAATCATGATAAAGCGAATTTTGTGTAGAATATTAAAATTTCGTCATTTAATATTACAAGCGGTTTAATAGTGTGGAGGTGCCGGGAGGTTTTACTTAGAAAAATGATTTGTTTTAGTTATTTGAGAATAACTTTAGAAATATTAAAGATATATGGATGATCTTTTATATGAATGTTTATATTTAAATTTTCTTATAATTACGTTTAGATTGAGTTTTTATGTCTTTTGCATAAAAGTTATAAATAATTAAACTTAAATTTTGAATAAAATTTCATAAACTCTTTGTAACTTTTTTCTAAAAAGTTATTAAGAAAATTTAAAACAATATGATGTAAAATTTAACAATAAATCCAACTATAAAAATCATTTAAGTAAATTTTTAGTTTCTCTGTAATCGCTTAAAAACTAATCCTGCATTTTTAAATTTCAATTCGCTTGAGATTTAATAGTGCCAACACTTTTGTTTAGTATGTCGTATAATTCGCTTTTGTTAGTACCCGAAATACAGGCACTTGCAGTACGGCCGCCGTATGCCATGCGCAATGTGGTGCGTGCGCGTGCTGCCCCGCGTCGCCGTCGGGGGTGGCAATCGGCAGTCGCGGCGGCCGATCAGTGAGTGCGCGAGCGGCGATCGGCGAAGGAGCGCGTCGCGGGTGCGCGGTGTGTGTGCCGACGACGAGGAGGACGACGACGACGCCGTCGCCGACGGACGTGCGCCGATAACATGATAACATGCAGATAATCGCTAGTGCAATGAGCAGTCATCACGATATTGACTCGTTACCAGCGGTGCGTGCAATAATTTAAAAGTTAAATCATAAAACTGAAAGTTTTCTTTTATTATTTATTTACATGGATTTATATAATGTGGATGCGCCGGGAATTTTTGCAAAAACATAATTTTAGTTATTATTACTTACACCCTGTATAGTTATTTCAATATCGACTCGTTATTACCAATACGTGATATATTTAAAAACTTAAAACCATAAAATGAAAAGTTTTTGTGAAAAATTATTTACACGTATTTATATTGTGTGAAGGCGCCGGGAATTTTGCAAAAGACGATTTTTAAATATTATTACCTACACCCTTTTACTTTTATTGATATAATGACTTATTATCAGCTGTCTGTTAATTTTTTCCCTAAAACTCAAAAACTAAAAGTTTTTCTAAAAATTAATTTACACGCATTGATATACTGTGGATGCGCCTGGAATTTTCCTGAAAATCTCAATTTTTGACATTTAAACTTTCACCCATTACCAAAAGCTATTATCATGCTTTTATCACTCTTCCGATACTTTTGATAATTGGGTGCACTATTATTGAGTTTGCGAACCGCGCATAATGTTGTACGTGCCACAATTAGAGATTAATAATTTGCGCAAATATTTGCGCCGTGCGCCGGAACGTTAATTAACATTGCGAGCCTGTGCGACCTCCACATATGATTTGTGTATTAATGTGATGAATGTGTTGCGCTGCAATGCGATGTATGAAACGCGAAATGCTGAATTACTGAATTGCGAGCTGTGTAATGTGCAATGTGTAATTACGGACGTGCAAAGTGCTATGCGGGCGATGTGGGATGCGTGAAGGAAAGTCATGCGCATGTAGTGATTTTAAATTATCTAAATAATTATTGAGTTGTTGTTGATTTTTCGGTGAATGAATGAAATAAAATGAAATAACATAAAATAAAATAAAGTTAATGATAGGTAAATATTGGATTGTTTTTTTAGTTTGTTTTAGTTTTTAATTGATTAGTCAGAGGGCAATCGATTAATGGAAAATATTATTTTAGTAAAGGACCTTTAATTAAATTCGTTATATGTTTTAATTGAGATTTTATTTATTGGAGTGATAGTTTTTTGATAAATTAGGAAATAAATTGTGATTTTTGAAAAAAAAATTGTTTTTTGTAAATTACTTGAAAAGTAGAAATAATTTTTAAATAATTTTGATGAAAACATGTTATATTTTTAATATTTTACTTAATTTTATCATTAATTTATAAAAAATAATTTTTTTTCATAAAAAATTTGAATTTTTTAAATTTAACATATGATTTAATACTGTGGAGGCGCCGGGCATACACACAATTTACATCCATATCACTTCTATAAAACGTCAAACAATAATTTTTCATTTTTTTCTTTTTTCTTCCTTGATATCTAAAATTATAATAAATTAATTGCGAATGTTATGGTTTTGTCAGCTGTACAAACAAACGATTAAGCGCGAGTCACACGTGAGTCGCATCGCATCGCACTTGAAGATTAGGGCGGAAAGGAAAACAAAACGCGCCGAAACCAAACAACACATAATCGTCTGTCGGCTTCCGATTACTCGCTGCTGCTGTCGGAACCGCCACCCCTTCACACATTTCACCCTTGAACGTTTCACATACGAGTGCCAACCTATATAAACAATTATTACACCACAAAAAATATTATTCCACAATAAAATTTGAATTACTTAAATTTAAAACAAAAATAATTAAAAATGGTGGAGGCGCCATTAATTTTTCTACGCATAGTAATAATAATAATAATAATCAACCTTTGCGTGTGAGTTTTTTTATTTTTTCTTCCTCGGCTGCTTTTTTCATATTTTTTATTGTTTATTGTTGTGGCAGGAGTGCGTTTACACTGCGTCACGCATATATTACAACAAAAAAGCTCATATGCATTTTGTTACCGTATTTTTTTCATTTTTTTTACTACTGGTATTTTTATGTACAACCGTTTTGTTTACCACCCTTGCTATTTCTGCGTTTTTTATTTCTTTTTTACTCGTTATGCGAGCACAAATGTTAAAAGTCAGAAAATAAAACATAGGGCGTTATAGTAATTAAAAAAACTCGATTATTTTTCTGTAAGTACTCCATAACTACTCGAAGTAATCAACTCGTATCGCGGTAACGATAATTTCCTTTGTTTTCCGCTTTACTCGGCAAACGCCTTCCTTGGACTTGGAAAAGTTGAGCTCGCCTGGAAAATATTATATAAATTATATTGCTTGGGTCGTTACAACTTCTTGCTCACTTTGCACTCTTACCAGCGTTAACTTTTACTTGCTCATTAATTTCTACGTGTTCACATGCTCACTTTGCGTCGCTTTGTGCTTCTTTGATTATTATTATTTTATTTTTGTTTTTTTTTTTTTGTTGTGTGAGTATACAGTAGAAATATATATGCTAATTACCGCACTCGGTGCTTTTGAGATTTCCGCGCGGCGATTAGATAAGAAGTGCGCAATGAGTTCGGGTGGAAGGCGTCGGGTAACACGTTTGAGATGCCGGAATGTGTGCGAGAATTTATTTCGTTTTGATAAAGTTTGCCAAACGAAAATATTTACGCGTTTTCTTTGCCGCCGGAGGTGACACGGCGAGCAAGAAGCAGGAAAACGGCAAACGAGGATGGTGGCAGAAGGGAGAAGGGAGGGTTGATTTAATTTGCAGGCGAATGTTTATTTCTTGTGATTTTCATCAAACATAATTTTTATTTTTATAGTGATAGTAAAAAATTTATTAGGTTATTACGAGTTATGAAAGCATTTTAACTGAAAGTATTTGATTTTTAGTTTTATTTGGGAAAACGATTTGTAATTCATTGAGTTTTATAGGAATCATAATTGTTTATGTATTTTTTATTAATTGAAAAGTATATGTTTTATAGAAATATTTTTTTTTGTATTTTTAAACAATGGAATAACTTTTAAAAAGGTTTTAAAAAGAGAAAAATTATTTTTTGTATTTTTAAAATCAGGTAACTTTAAACGCGATTTTAGGGGTTGGTTTAAAATTTTATAAAACATTTCTATATCAAATTTGAATAAATATGGTTTTATTTACACGTTTCTGCAAAAATAATTAGAAAATTTTAAAAACTGTAAAAAATACAGGATGTTTTGTAATAAAAAACAAGTTTTTAATTTTTGAACTTTTATACCCAATTTAAGGGTAGATTTTATTATCATATCAAAATTATTAGTATTGATTATCAAATAAAATTTTATTGACTACTTCCTGCAAGAAAAACATTAGATATTTATTAATAGCCATTAAAATTATAAAGCTTCAAACTAACTTTCAACTTTATTCCATCAAGAAAATAATTTACTTACTTTCAGAGTTGTTTTAATGGCAATAATAATTTTTATATATTTTTTCAATTAATGCATAATCATAGTAAATATTTCCAACTTTCTGATACAACAAAAACCTAATCGATTATTCAATTACTCCCTGAGTTACAGTAAAAAACATAAATCATTTAAACAATTGGCTAAAACTATATTTAAGGGTTGCTCAATAGCGCGCTGTTTTTGAAGGCTCATTGTAAATTTAATAGTTTTGGGTTCACTTGTCGACCGGAATCGATAAAACTGTCGACGCGTGCAAAATTAAACCTCCGCTTCCGCGTTTCCTCATTTCCTGATTTCCGCCCCTTTCGGTGTTGGCCCGTGCCCAAAGGGCCAGAAATTGACGCAATAATGAGGAATAATAGTGTTTCCGCTCCAATATGATAACAAAACAATTGCGCCATCAATTTAATAATATCATTACGTCAACTACCCCTTACACAAACATTACATTACCCCGCAGTAAAAATATTAGGGGTGAAAATTTTGATCCTAACAAAATTCTTTTCACCTTAATCTTAAAAAGCAACCACACGTCTTACGTGAATGATTTCACGGCGTGAAGCATAATAAAAGAAAATTGCATTATGGATTCGACTTTTTCACCGCCGCCGCCGGGGGCGGATAAAGCTTTTGGCAAATCTGATCTGTCCGACCGGAATTACATTCGGATTTGGATTTTCGTGATATTCAAATGTCGAAAAGGAGAAAAGTAGAGGAAGAGTATCAGACGATCATTTTTTAAGGGTTGGGGTTGGTGGTGGTAAGAGGGATGTAATCCTGATTTAAGTAATATTCCTTAATCGGCCGCATCCGTACGGCTTCGTTATTTTATATTACATTCAATACATTTCATAAAATAATTTTTTATTAAAAAAAAAAAAGAAAATATTTAATAAATAATTAAAAACGTTCAGATTGTGCGTTGTATGTACATACATTGCGTGTTACCACCATCCCCCCAACCCTTAATGTTCTGCTGGCCGCATTGCAACCCTTGTCCTGTGTCCTAATGTCGTAATGCCCCTTCGCATGACATAAGCGGTCGAAAAATGTGTCACGCGTACAACACAATGCGGCAGGCGCCTGACTACAACCCTTATACAAGCATGTACGAGCTTTTAACGTGCTTACAACAAATAAAATAAAAATCTACATGGTGCCTGAAATACAAACGTTTTTATCTATAAAATAAACTCATAAATAATTATATAATTTTAACATATGCAACTTATTATACAAAACACGAGTATAAAAAGTTGCCTATGTTAGATGTCAATATAAATAAATTTTTTGATTTTGTTTGTTATTTCTTTAATAAACAAGCTTTCAAAGCTTTAGGCACGATTCTAAAGCTCACGGCTTACATGTAAGCTTTTGTTGGTGATATTTTCGTTATTTATTTTTTTCTGTGTGAATGGAAAGCTCGAAGCTTTGCGTCTTGGAAATTATGTTATACTCCGTGAATAAAAGCTCTTTAATACCCCGCTGATGATTGGTGTGTGGTGTTTGTGTTCGCAGTTGATCGTCGAAATAAATGGGCAAGTGGCGCTCTTCCGGGACCTGCTGATACACATCGGTCAGGCGAGGGACTGCCCGGAACTGCGCGAAAAGATCCGGAAGCTACGGCGGAGCTGCGTGGAGGCCTGCAAGCATACCAGCCAGCTGATATTGCCGCAATTACGCAGGTGAGTGCCGACCACAGCACGCTTACCGCCGCCCCTGAGGGCTAATCCGCGTTGGGCGCGTTGACGCCGCAATCCCGGAAGTCAACCTGCCACCAATTAACGTTTCATTATTGCACCCTGTGTTGATTTTCGACTAGAATTGAATTTTTAATATAAATATAAAAATAAAATTTGATATTTTAAGTTGGGTTAATGGTTCAGACGTGTATGGTTTTTATTGAAAATTTTACTGAAACATCCGGGAAAGGAAGAGGAAAAAAAGGAAATAAAATTGAAGATGTATATAGGAGTAGGCCGACGGATGTTAAAACGTGCGCGCGTGACGTTTCCGCTTGACAGGTAAAATGACGAAAATATTTTCGTTTTATTATTTTTTCTTTCATGTTGCTTAAACGATTTCTTTAAAAGGTGATGGGTGGGAAGAAGTTGTCTTTCTTTGGGGTGTTATAACTCAGTTATAAATATTACTTCAATTTGCCTTCTTCCATTTCCACTTTTTTCTTCTTTTCCTCTTTTTTCTTATTTATCCTTACCTGTTACCTTTATTTTTCAACTCTTTCCTTTTGCTTCCCTTTTGTCATTCGTATTTTTCTTCTTCATTGCTTACTTGCTTTTTTTTCTTTTTTTTTTGCTGTTTTATTCTTTTTCCTTCTGTTTTCTACGTTTTTCTTTGTTTAGTGTTTTTTTAAATTTTTATTTGAATGACTAAAGTACTTTAGTCACGGGTTTTAGTCACGCTTTCTATTTTCGTCTATTTATCTTATTTTTCGGTTTCTTTTTCTTGATTCTCTTTTAATTTTATTCTTTTCTTCACTTTTTGCTTTTATTTTCCTTTTTATTTCCTTTTTATCAAAGTTATTGTTATCATTTTTTATTTTTAACTTCTTTCATTTTCTATTTATTTTTTCATCAATTTAATTTTTTATTTTCTCTTCCCCAATCTTCCTTTTCTTCTCCCCACAATATTTTCAATATCTCCTTTCTTCCTTTCCCTGTAATCTCCTTTGAGTCCCATACTCAATTATGCAGCTAATAATCTAATCCCGCTCCTGTTTCCTCCATTTCTATCTTTTCCACTCGAGAATCCTTGAACGTTATGACATTATTATATTCCCAGTAATTCCCCAGCCTGCAAATACCATCTACATCTGCACCCAGCAACAGCAAGCGTTTAATTACTTAAATTTTTCAAATCACTCCCCAATGCGATTTTTACGATTTTCATTTGCATTCTCCGCGCCATTGTGAGATCGCAAATAATTACATAAGAAGCTCGTATTCTGCGTCCAACTCAAACACGCCAATCCAAGACACAATTCACGCGTTTTATTATTAAGTAGCAAGCCCGGTCGTAAAACGAACGGCAATGAACGCGAAAATGCGAAAAACGCCAAAGGAAGTTTGTTCGCCGACTCGTCGCAAATTCGATGATTTATTCTTTGTATTAATGCGGTGTATTTAAATTGCCATCAAATTTGGGTCACGCTTTTATTTATTTTCCTTTATTTCCATCCGCCTAAATGGTGCTGGTGGTTTTTAATCAACTCGAATGCATATTTAAAACGCGATATGAATTTTTAACGATTCTCGCCAAGCGAAATTATGTTTGTATGTTAATAATAATAATAACATTTAACATACAGCCTGTTCACATAAAGAATAGCATATTAAGTATCAAGTGATTAATTGGAAACTTTAGTCACGAGTGTTCAATCAATCGAGTGTATAACATCGTTTAGTCACGTGAAGCATACGTTATTTTTTATAATTTCACTTTAGTTCCACTTTTAAGCTCCACCCCGTGACTAAAACCCGTGACTAAAGTACTTTAGTCACGGTATTAGTCGTCTGCAGTTAAAGTAACACTTTTTGTGTTAAAAAACCGTGGAGAAAGTAAAAAAAAAACTGATTTAAAACATCCATGCATATATAAATCGACATTAACTGTCCTTTCGTGTTTTTTTTTTCTTGTAAAGAACTATAAATAAAATCCATCAGTGACACAATACAACAAAAACCACCACGCTGGACTAACTCCATCAATAATGAAACATTATTCTTTTCACGTGGACACCGCACTCGCTTACAATTACAAACATAACCTCAACCTATATACAGATTCAATAATACCAACTTTACTAGTAGTAATAAAGACTATTCATTGATAGGCAACCCATTTAACACACATACACATACAATACACACACGTATTTAACTTTCACAACGTGTGTGTTGGGTTGCAGTCAATGTATATGCTAAGCAGTAATTGTGATTCGAAACAGTAGCGCCCGGCGCGAATGTGTACGTGGCAGGTTGTAAATCAAACATGGCTCGACAAACTTTACGGGTAACGAGTTGCGCGCGCCCCGACAACAAATTCACTGGGATATAATGCACATAAACGACACTCGCAGTCGCGCGCCCGAATAGGGTTGAACCCGGTGTGCGCCGCCACCCACAATACACCCGGCACTCACAACGCTCACGTCGTGTTGCCTAGCTTACTTTATATTATTAAGCGCGCAGCGACACACTGGCAAAAATGTACGCAGGGTGGTTTTTGGGGTTTGGGGCGCGGGTGTAAGTGCCTCGCTGGCTCGGTTTTAATTACGTTCTTGCATTATGATGCAAAATACTGAAATTACGTGGCTGAAAATGTATTCACACATTGTGAAAATAAAGAAAATTAAGAAAAAGAATTGTTTATAATAATAATTTTTATGGATGTGTGACTTGAAGTGTTTTGAAAATGTTTCTATGTCAAGTGGAAATAAACAATGAGAGGAAAGTTGTGTAAAACTTGAGTTGGCTGCGCGTCCTTGAGCGCCTGTCAGCTTCCTAATTAATTTACATACACGTCTGCAAACAGTGCGAAGGAGGGTGCTTCCTTTGCGGATGAGTGCTCGGGAGGACATCCTGCCATGTTTTGACAATTCTATTTTTGGAACAAAGAAAGAAAATTTTAACTAGGTATAATTTAGGTTTAACATTTAAGTGATATGTACTTTTGGGTAATGTTTGAGACAAGTTAGAAATTCAACAAGATTTTAAGCCATCTTAATCAAAAGTTTACTTCTTCTCCTTCTTCCCTTTTATTTTAAATTATTTTTATTGTTATTTTATACATGATTTTTCTTGCTTTCTTCTTTTTTTATCATTTTTTAATGTTTTTGTCATTTTTTTGTTGTTTTTTACTTTATTTCCACTTTTTTATTTATTTTTTTACTTTCACCTATAAAGAATTAGTTTGCTCATGGTTTTAAGACACGAAAAGTGGTATTTTAGACACGGACAGCCAAAAACATGACTAAAGTACTTTAGCCACGGGTTTTAGACACGGGGCGGAGCTTACGCCTGCGCATTTGTTTTTTCCTATTTTTTTCTTCAATATTTTCGTTCTTTATAATATTCTTTTCATATTTTTGACTTATTTTTCTCTTTTTATTAATTTTTTCTCGTTTTTTTGTTTGTTTTTCCTTTTCTTCATATTTTTTCATATTTTCTACTTAATTTTTCTTTATTTTTTCAACATGTTATCCCCTTTCATTACACTCTTATCCCTCTGCATTTTCATCTAACTTTAAATCATTATAATTTTTTATTTTCCTCTCAACCTTTCTTCAATATTTCTTCTTATTTCCGTTATTATCATCTTTTTGTTTATTTTTTCTTCTCTTTCATATAAAATATCCACATATTATTTATCTCCCACTCATATCTACATTTATATCCGAAAGTATCCTCATGTAGATGTATATCTGTATTTTCATTTTCGGATATTGTCTGTTATGTTAGAGTACGCGCGAAAGTTTAAGCTTTATGTATCCACGCGACCTCGTAACATTCAAAAGCACTCTTGTCGGTTTTCCCTCATCTCTTGCACTTAAACTTGCCTGGCTTTTCAAACTTCATCTACAAACCATCGCCTCGCATCAACATTCCGCCAAACAAAATCCCATTTTTTATTTATACACTTCCTCATAATAACCCCGACGATATTCATTAGTGATAATGAAGCATGAAATAAAAGACACTAGCAATCTGAAAAGAAAAGCGGATGATGAGGGAGTTAAGTCTGCGCAGATGTAAAGAGACAGTTAGAGGCTGTTAGGAGGCTCCGCCGAGAGGAAGTGTCATTTATATCAATCTGTGCGTGGGGCGTCAAAGTGCTTTATCGCATCGCCCGTATCTCACTTCCTGCTTTCCATCCATGTGTATGTGTTTTTCCGGCTTGCGCCAAGCACGGAACTTGTTTCTAATGTATAGTGAGCACGTAATCGCGTCATCCCGTGTAATCCGCGTAACAAATCCGGTTTAAAAATTGCGCGAAAAAACGCCAAACACAAAATGTTTTAAAACGCAAATCTTGTTTGCTTTTGCCCGCAGCTCCGTCGCCGAAGGCATCCCCGAGGACAACCCGCATCTAGTGCTTCTGTTCTTCATGTCGCAGCTCTTCCTTCGCGAACTCACCAAGTGCCATCGTCTAGTTCAAATTATTCCCATGGACATGTCCGGATACTACGGTAAATTACCAAAAATAACCACAAACCGTGTCAGGCATAATGAATTCACATATTGCGTGCGGATAAATACACACAACCCGAAAAACATTATGACAGGTTAGGTACAAGTTGGAAAGTGAGGTTAGGTGGAGTGTGATCATCGCAAATGACCACGCGATGAATTATTCAACGCTGAAAGTGCAGCATTAAGTCCTCATGAATTGTTAATGTTAGAAGGGTTGCAGGCAAACAGGACCGTGTTAAACAGGAGAGAAAAAAGTTGCCTAATATTATTGTCGGTTGGAAGCTGGCGATAGCGTTGAACTGTCACATTATCAGCAGCTTATTCAATTCAACAGGATAATTACCTGATATATCTATGGTTTGCTTGTTTACGCAGTGGTAGAGCCAATTTTGTGGACCAGGGACAAAGCGCTGAGTCTACATTTGAATTTATAAACAGTCGGGCACTAATTGTATTGATTAGAGGTGAACTCAGGTGGAAGGTGGACTAACATCATCATCATCATCATCATTATTGTCTCCATTTAGATAGTCGGAATGTATTAAATGTAACAATGGAGGGAATTTCTGTCTTCTGTCATTTGTTCCGCTTCAGCCTGCGCTAATAACCACTCACTTTTCTACGTTTTAATTGGATGGCTTTGTTCCATATACTATGCCTGAAGGCATTCAATCTTCATCTTAAGACTTCATCTTGAGTCTGGTGTACAAGTCAATCATCATCAACCTAATTTCAAGTTGTAGAGCAAAAATGAGGTTATGTGAGTTGATTGTGAATTACAGGAATCTGGATTGTTTTGTTGAGATACTTGTGGAGGGAATCTTTTTTTGTGTAAAAAGGTCTTGTAAACGGATTACCATGTTATGTTTTGTTTTCAACATCCTGCCATTTGTCGTTTGCGCTTTGATGTGCAATTTTCATTTCAGTCCAACTTTGATAAACTCGTTTCCAACTTGCATCCAATGTCCGCGGCGAGCCGAGGACAATCATGAGAAATGCTAGAAATGTCATTACGGGCTTTCGTGCTTTAATAAAACAGAGATGGATTTGAAGGATAACAAGATTTGGTTGACGTTTTCATTCGTTTTTATCTTTTATCTTTTATCGTGTTTATCACAAAATGAGAAAATATCTTCACAAAATAAAAAAAAACATCACAACTAACGCCATCTATGTTTAATTATTTTAACAATGTGTTTATGAATAGAAAACCGTGCGGGCCCATCGAATTTAGGCAACGTCATCAGCCAAATCCTGCTCTGTAAGCAGATCACGCCCGACTTCAATCAGGAGGAGCTGTGCAGCATTTCGAAGGACTCGGCGGAAATATCCAAGATCCTCAAAGAGATGCAGGAGTACATGCCGAAGCAGGAAAACAATTTAGGTGAGTGTGGAGTGTGTCGAGTGCGATTAATCATGCTCGCAAGCTCCGCCCCAACCAAACATCATACATGTTCCTAACCTCACAATCACAATCGTACATAACCACAACCGCCAGCTGACAAAAACATTCGCTAACGGATAAATATAAATCACAAAATCATTAAGTCATGAAATTGCAAAACGCGAATGCTGCGGCCGAAGCGAAACGCATTACAAAACGATTTTCGCGGATGTGTTGCGCATGAAAAACATGTCGGAGCCATAATGGCTTGCGAAAACGAGTTGGACTCGTGTTTGCAGAGAGCGAGTACATTATCGACTGCGGAGGGAAATTAGTTTAAATTGCAAAGTGCGGCTTATCGTCGTCCTCGCGCGAGCGCTAATGACCGCGTGTTGCGAGAGTCGAAAGATGCGTGCGAGATTATCGCTACTTTGCGCGGGTGTTTGCCATTATCGGGGTTAGCTTAGTATACGATCGTGGAACTTAAATTTTACAAGCAAATGCCGCAGTAGAATAAATTACATTCACATAGTTAGCGTAAAAGTAAGGTTAAGTTAAATAATATTTCAGTTATTTATTCATAGATGTCGCTAGTAAATTAAGTCAATCATAAAATATAATTTTGTGATTCCCTCGATTGTCTAAACTCCTCTGGGTGTAATCTTGCTTGCCCAAAACGATAAACGTTGATGTGAACCTCTCCGCGTCATTTACTTTGACTGTAGGCAACCAGTAATACACGCGCAATTTGCCTCTGACGTTCCGGACATTTTGGTGCAACAACGCGTTCAGTCCGTGGGGAAAAGTTTAACGGCATTGACGTGACGTAGACTAACAAGTCCTTATGTTAGTGGCATAATTAGTTCGGAACAATTACCAAACCAAATTTCCAGCCATCATCTATTTTTAGGTTATTACTTGAAGTTTAACCTAAACTAACGGTTTCAGAACGAGGTGGAGCGTTGGTGGATGACGTACCAAGCCAGTGGACCAATAAACATCGAAGGACCTCGCTGTACAAAAACATGGGACTGTTGTGCTGCGTGCGCAGGCCGAACTATCTGTGACTGTGTCCGAAAACAAAACGAAATCGAAATCGACATCATCTCATCACAATTATTCAACAGCGAGAAGAGTGAAGTATAAAAAATTAAAATAAAAAAGAATGGACATTTTCATCGGGCGACAAGATGGCGGATTGTATGATATTAGTCTGTACAGAGTTCTGTATTACCGACATGTGGATAAATACGTCAATTCATCATGCAACATCACATCTGTACACCAACATCACGCGCCATCTTGAATTAAGCTACAAAAATAGGTTATTAGTTAGATGAATGAAGAAAAAAAACACGTGGTACTTGGATCAATAAATTAAGCGTAACGTTATTACAATAAAAATAAAATACAAAAATATATTATATATGAATAAATTACAATAAGAAAAGAATTATAATTATATCACGTACACATTGATATTACAATTACAATGTGAGAAATGAGATTTGATGAATTATAAAAATATTCTGCAAATATTGTAACATAGCCTAGAGAAGGATAGTTTTTAGGTAGATAGGCAGAGCCGTATCAGAACAAAAAAATAAATTCGTGTATTTTCTATAATTATAATACATACTACTCGTAATTATTATTATCATTAGGCACTAATAATATTCTGCATAGTTTGCAAGTTTGCAGTGAAATTTAAGGTTGAATAAAATGAAACACAAGCAAAAATAAAGATTAATAATATTCACAGTCAATATTATAATACACGTTGCGTCGTGAGTCGTTAGTCGCGAGTAGAGCTACACCTAAGTGCACACATTGTTTTATTTATAGACACATGAACACTTGGTATGTTTATTTATGAGTTATGCGGTGGATTGTATTGCAAGTGCGAGATTTTAATATTTAAACAGATTTTAATGATTGTTTTCGGAATTTTAGTAAAATAATTGGTTACAAATTTAATGAGGTTAATTGTTTATTAATTATTAATTAATTTGATACCAAAATTTTCATAATTTTTGGGTAATATTTGAATGAAAGTGACTAAAGTACTTTAGTCACGAGTTTTAGTCACGGGGCGGGGCTTGCGCCTGCGCATTTGCTTACGGAGCAGCAAAATACCATTTATTATTATTTTTTATTATTATTTTGTATCAAATTTAATTATTTTTCTAGAAAACCGCGAAAAAAGAGAAAAAATTGCGTAATTTCAACAAATTTTAAGTTTTGAGCATTGAAACTACTATAAGCAATTAACTAAATGTTATCTTGGTTATAAATTGTTTTATTTACTAATAATTTGTAAAATTCCAACAAAAAACTTGAATTTTTATTTGTTTAGATCATTATTCTGCACTTGTAATACAATTCTCCGTCAAAAACGCAAATTAATTTATTCACAGCTTAAAATTTTAAACAAAAAAAAAATAATTAGAAAGAAAAAATTAAAGCAATAAAATTTTCCAATTGGAACAATAAAATAAGTGCGATATTTTCAAAAAAATAAATAAATTAAAGAAAATCTTTTCAATAATCTGATAAATCTTTAAATTAACGCTAATTATATCTACACTTGAACTTAACGCAAACAAACACACAAGATTGCACAGTTTGCACCAATTACGCTCGTAGTTAATGAATAAATCTAAATATTCCACGCCTATAACAACAATAAATACAATTTATTACTAGTTATTCAGTTACGAATGCAATTTGATTGATTTGCGTTAAATTGTTAAAATTGCTTCATAAAAGCTTGACTAATATATTGAAACAAATTTCTTACACAAGCATCAACTAAAAACCCACATAAATAAACATATTATATTTTTAATTGATGCTTGTGTAATGTTTATGAACTTACTTAAAAATAACGAAACCAGTGACCAAATTCTTGCGCCTTATTTCATATTCTCTAATTTATCTGTATCGAGCTAAGAAATGACAAGATGACAAACGAGATGAAATCAAAACCGAAACATTAAATACAAACGAATAATGTATTATTACATCGTTTAGCTCAAAAATCGTTCGTCTCACAAACACAAACATTATAATTCTACAAAAGAGAAATTAAAACAAAAAAAAAACGATTCTAATCTAAAATACTCGAATTACAACCAATTAGCATTTACCAACTAAGTGTCTACTCAAATAATACACCAATTTTTGAACCAGAACAAAAACACGGTGAAGGTGGTGAATCAAGTAGGAATTTTAACATTTCGAGATTTCAGATTTCGAATGAGTCTTGTGAGTCTACACAAATTTATTACGTGACTTAAGTCGTGTTGTCTGAATGTTAGCGTTTTCGAAAAGAAGAAACAAACACGTACATAGTTTTTAATGATGATGGGAATCATCGTAGAAATTTATTTATACAAGAATAAGGACTAAGTATTATACAAAAAACAAGATGAAAACGTATATATTATACATATTAATATTATATTGCGAACAAACATGTGAGTATCGAGTAAGGAACAAATGAATACACACAAAATGATTATATTAACTCTAGAAACTGTGATATAGGTGGTTAAAACAACTCCGTCAATTTATAATTAAAATTTGTTGTGCGTTTTGTTGTGGATTTGTGAGTTTTTAGGCAATGGTGAAGAATAGCGGTCTAAAAATATGGAAAGTGGATATTGTTTAGTTTTTTATTGATAACTCAGAAAGTTTTTGAGATACAATATTGGGTCTTTTATAGGTTATTAAGTATTAAATTTTGCTTATATAAACGTTAAAATTGAATGAATATTGCTATTTTATAAAAGTTACAGGCTTTTAAAGTTGATTTTGAATAAATTGTAAAAACAACTTTAATTGCTTGTAACTAATTAAATAAAATTAAATTAATAAATTATTAGTTATTGTTAAATAAATAATTTATTTTAGAATGCATTTGTCTAAAAACAAATGTTCTATTGGTAAAGTTCTTTGTTAAAATCATTGAAAACTGTCAAAAAACAGTTTTTAGACCGTTATTCTACACTTGCACAAATTAGAAATTAATAACCTTCTTATAAATTGTCTAAACTGTTGTAAAACTATTGTAAAACATTATTTATTTAAAGTTTAAGACTCTTCTTCCTTTCCAACAATAATAATATCAATTTTTAAATTTTAACAACACGAAATTGATGAAAAATGAGTTCTATCTTAACAATAAATTAAGACTTTTGTCTATTTATCCTGTCACTGTCACAGATACACTGTACTTCTTATAAATAAAAAGATATAATCAAAATCTACAGCCATTCTAATTAATTTCAATGTTTAAATAACAATAAACTCTGAATTATAGGCAATTATCCTTAAAACAAGTATAACTCATGTGTATAATATGTTGCCTATAGTCAAACACTAATCCAAAGTATTAAATTACATTATGAGATTATTTTATTATGTATTACACAACTTTTCAAACTAATTGCAACAGAATACTTAGAATCATGTTTGTTTTGACAAACTGCTTTGATTTCTAAACATCTAATAAAGGATTCGCAAAGTTGCAGAAGTTTACACGTGCATGTAAGGTTGCCTATAGTGTTACCTTACAATCTGAATAAATCACAAGTACTGAGTTTGATGTTTGTTTTTGTTTTGGTTTTATGTTTTATGTTTTATGTTACAGCGCAAGCAATTTAAACTTTCTTGTAAACTCGCGAACGTCAAGTTTTAAGAGAGAATTGAGAGTTTAGTCGCAGGTAAGACTTGCAAATAACAACAACCGGTGAGTGTTACGTTACGTTGTAAGAAACAACGCGCAAAAACAAAAAGTTTCAGTTTAATGCGATATAAATTACAAAATTAATAATAAAAGTACATAAAATTAACAATAAATAGTATAATTCTACTTCTGTAGTAGGTAAAACTTGTCTAGGTTTATATTATTTTATTTTTTGTTATTTTAGTTATAAATAAAGCAAAAAAATGATTTTTGTTATTTTTGTAATGTTTTTGATTATTTAAACAATGAAAAATATTAAAATATTGTAAATAATGTTATTAATAAATGTTTACAATCAAAAACTGGCGTTTTATTGTATCCTGCTGCAACACAGAGACAAAAATTAACAGAACTCAAGAGAAAACTGTAACCAAAATGGCTGACAGTAGTTTTCGTCTGTTTTTAATTGGCTTGCTCAACGGCGCCGGCCATTAATTAGTCTACCTTAACTAATTTCGAACAGTTGCCGGCGCAGCATCGCTTCGATAGTGGTTTGCTTAATAGTCTTAACTTTACTTATTGCTTATTCAACATTATGAACTTATAGATTAATACACGAGCGCGCCGACGACTAAAACGGAACGCATACCTAAACCTAAATCCTAACCTAAACCCAAAGCTTTCGGTTTGGCCACAGTAGACTCTCTCGCACAGTTACAGTTACAACTAGAACTGAATTTGTCGAGTCGAGTCTCGAGACCAGTCGTAAAGTTGTAGTTTATAGTAACAGCGCAAACGTGCCCGCCGATTGAAGGGTGTTGAAGGGGTGCCAAGGGGTGGTTGAGTGTGCGCGGAGAATGAGAGCAAACTATATAACAATGTTGGCATTACGTTCCGGCTCAAGCGATCGGTAATGATTTGCAAATAATGCTCTGTATTTATGGACAATTTGAGCCGCTTGAGGCGGTCGGCGAAATAACGTATCAATTTAGGTTTGAGTTGAGAGTAAACAATTCTGATTCTATTTGCATAATTACTCAATTTGACTGATTAGGGTGTTGGGAAGTTGTTGGTAGCTACATTTTGGCAAGTGCCTAAAAGTGAGGTTTTTTGGAAATTTGAAAATATTGTTTAAAAAACATTGAAAATTTACGTTGCATTACTTTTATTATTTGATCTTATTGACCAAGTTTGCAAATTTATTTAATATTTTGTTTTTTTTAAGCCAATGGGGCCTTAATAAGAAATTATGTTAATGATTTCTGATTGAGAATTTAATTTACTGTCAGAATCCGAAAACAGAATTTAAAAATTCTAATTTTTACAAAACCTGCATTTGTTGAAACAAATTTCGTCATAAAAAGTCAAAAGATTTCTCTTTTATAATTGAAATTAAAAGATTAAGTTTTTGAATTCTAATAGATAAATTCTACATAGATTATTGTAGTAATTATAGAAATAAATTAAAATATTACGATTTGGCGGGAACTTTATAGTCTATGCCCACTTTCTGCGTTCCTAATAGCACACACTGATTTTCAGCAGTTTCTCGACAAAATTTTGTGCTCAAATTCAATGAAATTTCTACACAAAATTCTTTTGAATATTAGGATCGCAGAAAGTGCAGTAGGCTGCCGAATAAATTTTTTACTTATTGCAACACCCAGTGGCGGCGTAATTTACTAACTCATAGACAGATGGCACTGGTGGTTTGAATCTATTAACGCTGAGGCAAAACTTAAACCGACTAAGGCAAGGGGGAGGTCCATGCGGTCTCCAATCCAAATACTACCCAATCCGGATGTTGCTAGGATTGTTTATTGGTACGCTATTAAAAATAAAATATCTATATAATCTATATATATATATATATATACAAATATCCACTAGTATCAATTTAAAATCGATTATTTTTATATACTTACCATTTATGGGATTAACCTTCGCAAAATCTGCAAAAATGTCTTTTTTGTACTTCTCCGTCGGCTAATTTTCGGTGGGTTTTGTATTTTTTCAGACAAACGCGTTGTTGTAGAACAACTGTCCCTACACCAGATTGAAGGTATTTTAATTTTGCATAATATGCATTTATAATTTGAAAGATTGGCCTTTGAAAATCCCAAAAATTTCACTTTTTTGTTTTTCTGGATTGACAAATTTTTGTGGTTTTTAGTACTTTTCGGGCCAACGAGACGTCGTAGGACAAGCGTTCTATTACCAAATTAAAGATACTGCAATTCTGCGTAATATAAGTATATAATTTGTGGGATTAACCCTGGAAAAACCTATAAAAATGCACTTTTTTGTTTTTCTAGATTGGCGTATATTTGTGGTTTTTAGTATTTTTCGTGTGAACACGATGCCATAGAGAAACCATTCTATTACCAAATTAAAGGTATTAAATTTCTGCATAACATACGTATATAATTTGTGAGATTAACCCTTTGAAAGCCCATAAAACTGCCCTTTTAGTTTTTCTGGATCGGCTAATTTGTGTGTTTCTGGTGGTTTCCAGGCGAACGCGATGTCGTAGAGCAACCGTTCTATTACCAAATTAAAGCTATTGAAATTCTGCATAATACACGTGTATAATTTGTGAGATTAACCCTCGGAAAACCCACAAAACTGCCCTTTTAGTTTTTCTGGATCGGCTAATTTGTGTGGTTTTTGGTGTTTTCTGAGCGAACGCGATGTCATAGGGCAACCATTCTTTCACCATATTAAAATGATTGAAATTTTGCATAATATACGTATATAATTTGTGGGATTAACTCTTGAGAAACCCACAAAATTGCCCTTTTTGTGTTTCTTTGTCCACTAACTTTTGTTATTTTCGACACGAAATTGAACGCGAACAATTCAAATATTGACGAAATACCCGCGAAAATTTTCAGCCTCCTCAACATTCTGCGATCCGAATAAAACAAACCGATTTTAGCATTGGTTTTGACCCGAAAAATGCACACGAACATCCGCCCATGCAGAGAGAGAGGGAGAAAGAGTAAGAGAGAGCAAGGAAAGAATAGCGAGAGAGAAGGGTAGACAAGAAAGGAGAGAGAAAGTACCATTCAAAATTTGTCAAAATACCCGCAAAAATTATCAGCCTCCTCAACTTTCTGCGATCCGAATAACACCAACCGATTTTACCATTAGTTTTCGACCCTAAATTGAACACGCACATACACACACATGCGCTCGATCACAAATGCAGTGTGTGTGTGTGTGTGTGTGTGAGCTCACGTTTAATTTCGGGTCGAAAACTAATGGAAAAATTGGTTGGTGTTATTCTTATCCCAGAAAGTTGAGGAGGCTGGAAATTTACGAGGGTATTTCAACAAAATTTGAATTGTTCGCATTCAATTTCGGGTCGAAAATTACAAAAGTTAGCGGACCTGGAAACACAAAAAGGGTATTTTTGTGGGTTTCCCGGGGTTTATCCCACAAATCATATACGTATATTATGCAGAATTTTAATACCTTTAATTTGGTGAGAGTATGGTTGCTCTACGTCACCCCGTTCGCCCAGAAAATGCCAAAAACCACAAAAATTATCCAATTTTAAAAACAAAAGGGGCATTTGTGCGGGTTTCCCGAGGGTTAATCCCACAAATCGTATACGTATATTATTCAGAATTTTAATACCTTTAATTTGGTTATAGTATCGTTGCTCTACGACATCCCGTTCGCCCAGAAAATGCCAAAAACCACAAAAATTATCCAATTTTAAAAACAAAAAAGACATTTACTTGGTTTTCCCGAGGGTTAATCCCACAAATTATATACGTATATAATGCAGATCTATAATACCTTTAATTTGGTGATAGAATTATTGCCCTACGTCACCCCGTTCGCCCAGAAAATGCCAAAAACTACAAAAATTATTTAATTTTGAAGAACAAAAAGGGCATTTTTATGGGTTTCCCAAGGGTTAATCCCACAAATTATATACGTATATTATGCAGATCTACAATACCTTTAATTTGATGATAGAATTATTGCTCTACGTCACCCCGTTCGCCCAGAAAATGCCAAAAACTACAAAAATTATTTAATTTTGAAGAACAAAAAGGGCATTTTTATGGGTTTCCCAAGGGTTAATCCCACAAATTATATACGTATATTATGCAGAATTTTAATACCTTTAATTTGGTGATAGAATTGTGGCTCTACAACATCGGAAAACCCACAAAAATGCTCTTTTTGTGTTTCTTTCCGCTAATTTTTGATATTTTCGACCCGAAATTAAACGCGAACAATTCAAATTTTGTCGAAATACCCGCGAAAATTTTCAGCCTCCTCAACT